GAGCGATCACCTCGTACTTTTCTTAGGAGATGAGTTTGCGCAGGAAATTCTGGGATGACGTGTTGCACACACCCGTAACGAAGAAGACGCGCTGAGGACGCCGCGGGCCGCTGTACTAGAAGAGAAGCAGTTGATGATACCACAAGCACCGAACGGTTAAGGGAGGGTCTATGAGGCACGAGAAACAGCGCTGGGCTTGGATAGCTGCTGAAGCAGACTCGGAGCCAAGTTCCGGCGTAGGGCGATATCGGTGGCAAAAACAGAGGAAACAGCGAGGGGAGGACATTATTGTCAGGGGGTTTAGTTCTACTGAACCCTCGTTTTATCATTAAGCAATCCCCTCTTCAGCGGCGCCATAAGTGATGGCAATACGATGATATAGAGAGGAGTGGTTGTTTTACGAATAGAAATTCACGCAGATGAGATATGCCCAATGACTGGAAACATGACTCGAAAAGGACGAACACGCGTCAATCTGAACGAGCAGGGGTTAGTGTTTACTTCATCGTGAGGTATCACCGGGAAGGAACGGCGGAGTGACGTTAGAAACGAAAGACGATGGGGTTCGACGAAAGAGATGTCCCTCCTTGGCACCCGTGATTTGTTCGCCTTCCCAACCATGCCTGTCAGACCCAGTACACTGGCGTTGGTAAAGAAAAGTCCGAAGTAGGCTGAACGAGCTGAGCACCGGAAATGGCAATCTCGAAAGAAAAGTAGCAGCAACGCCTGACGCCCAAACGCCTTGGGTGGCGTACTTGGTTTGGAGGGGTCTCAGCTTCAGCTTCTTAGTCTAGGCAGGTTAGTAGTCTGTATACGATACTGAACGGTCTTACTCCTACCATCTCGGCCATATTCTTTTGAGGCTGGAGCCGAAAGCTGGAGCTAGGAAGCTCAAGTTGGAACGTGGCTATGGAATGAATGGCGTCTTTTACGTGCTGGGCTTGGGGTAGCTGAGATGGGGGGCGTATCGAACCATTTTTTTGGGGACTTTACGGACGAAGCTTGAGTGAGTCACTCTGCTCTGCGTTTCCAGCCTTTTAGACTTGTCTTTCTATTCAACTCTTCCTCGGTATTCTGATCATTATCCTGTCCCGGGGTCAAAGGTACGCCCCCCCTTCCCCTCGTTCACGTCCGATATAATAGAATTTCTACCCGGGAACAAGCACATACGACCACACCCATCGGAGAATTCGGGATCCCGTCCGCTCTCCCATAGACAAGCCGGTGAGGGCCAGATTAGTAGTTGAGTCGGTGACGATCAGCGAATACCTGGTGTTGTATGTTTTTATTTTTTTGACGTTTTTGTTCAGTGGCAGGTTTACTGGTGGGTTACGATGTTTGCTTGAAGAGCCACAGGACTGATAAAGCTGATTGGATACCTGATGACATCCTTCAGCGAGAAAGAAGGAGAAAAAAGGCAGGTAATGGAAAATTGCACATGGGCAAATGGGATTGCCATGTCTGTTCGCCACCCCTCCTTACTGGACCGAATGGCATGGGAAATCGGATATGGCGGGGTGGGTGGTGGTTCAGACTTACACCCTGGACCTCACTTGACATACACTTTAGATACACATAGGTGGTAGAGAAAGCCACCGGGAAGACTCCTCTTATTACTTGGCTACGTATTAGCTCGGTTGGCCCGGTTCGTTAGTAAGATGTTTGACAGGTCTTGCTATCTCGGAAGTTCGAGGTCAAGTCGGACCGGGAGTCGGATAAGGTCGTTGCTTTTCTTCTTCTTCCTCTTCGTACTCCCATCGTTGGGGATGGCGGGGAGGCGGAGGAGGGGCACACGAAGGGGGAAAGCGTAATTCTGGTGTTACCGCGTTCTTTCTTCTCTTCTGCATCGATTGTGAGAATGCCATGCTGGGTACGGGGATCTGTGTGGCACTGTTACTCGGGAGATTGCTTGCTTCCTTCGTCGTCGTCGTCGTCGTCGTCGTACAGAGACACAAAGACACGCATCACGCACGCCGCCGAGCTTTCGATTTCTAAAGATGACTAGGTACATTCTGATCATACCCGGCCTGCGGGTCTCTACTAATGATTCACTGTTGTGCGAGGTGCTCTCGTGTTGCTCGTTAACGGTTCTCTTGCATTGTGGTTTCCCGAGCTTTTCGTCAATCCCCGTCGGAAAGCGCACTTTGGTTTCAAGCTGTGGTCTGCTAACCAGAGGGCATAGGTAGGGGCACGTCAGGTTCACGGTTGGTGTTCAAAGACGGAGCGAGGGGAGATGCTAGTGATGCATGCCCGTTACGTTATCTTTAGGTGCGCGTGCCTCAGCTCGCTGCAAGGAGAAGGAACTGTCGGATTCGCATCCGTTTACGACGTCGGGCTTGGGCTGCCTACAAGGTGATTGCTCTGTCTACTCCTCCAATACCCGGGAGAGGGTTCAAGCTCGTGGGCGCAGCATGGCTTGGTTCACGCGACGGAACATGGTTGTATGAATGGTGTTGAGAAGCTCGTCTGGATGATGAGAAGCGCTTCAGATTGGCGGATGTCACTTCCAACAGAACTCGCAACATACAAAGTAAATCATTGAGGTATGCCATTCTTTTGCTGATCTTTACTGCTTTTGGGGGTATCTGGCTGGTGGGCGAGAGTCACATGGCAGACCACAGGTGGGCTGTCGAGTATGGTGCTTGCGGCGGTCGGCTGAGGTCTCATGTGGCGCCGAGACGCGGGCAGGCACGGCAAGACAGGTTCAGTCAGGAAAGAGGCAGAACTAGGTACTGCGTAAGGGCGTAAGGTTAGGTAGGTAGGCAGAGAGCTTGGGGCATCTATCTCAGCTTTGGGGTTAGAACGAGGCTGCTGCCGAGGGGACTGGCTGGCTTGCTGGCTGGCCAAAGTGGCTGCCGCTGAGTCAGGGGCCTTGTCAGCGATCTTTACGGCGGAGGGCAGGACGGGTAGATCGTGAATAAGCATCACGAAGGTTTTTTATGTGTGAGACGAGCGGGCGGGTGGTGGCATTGGCTGCAGGATGTTCGTGGTTAACCCGAGTTCGGGCCGCTGCCCCAAGGCCTGCCAGGCTATGCCAGGGTTTCTTTCCAGTCTCAGCGAAAGGGTTTTTTCAAAAAGCCGTGTATGGAGTACGCAGATGGATAGGGAGAGATCGAGGGCGCGTGGCAGAGTGCCAGAGAGGATCGATCGCCGATGACATGGGAAATCGAAAGTGGATGGATGGGAGACGGTGTCGATGCATATTTGGAAATGGAGAATGGGAGAAACCCTAGGTGCCGTGGTGCCCAGGTGTGCAGTCTCTACCTACGCTAGGGGAGGTGAAATGGGGAATGCACTTTGCTCAAGTTCTCTCCTCACATGATGGGTTTCCTGCTGAGCTACCTACTGCAGCAAGTGGTGCCGTAGTTGGCGGAAGAGAAAGATGGGATGGTGACCAACGGTTCGTTTTGCTGCTCGAGCTTGGGCGCAATTGATGTTTGTTACTTTTGTGATACCGTAAATAGGCAGTGTAGGAATGTGGTGCGGAAGTGTTGGTTGTGAGCACGTCAGGAGTCAAGGGTGTCAAGGGGGTGGGAGACTTTCAGTGGGAGTTGGTGCCGCAGCTGTTTGGGTTGGTCTGGTATCCCGGGTATGTGTGTGTGTGTGTGTGTGAGTGTCGGTACAATTTAAGGCTGTCCAAGGCGGCAAGGCCCCAGGAGAAATGACGAAATGGATTTCTGCTGGGGAAAAGTCAACTCTGTCCGTGCTTGTCCCGCTCGCAGGCCCATCCCTGTTCCTATGCTGCTGCGTACGTTGAGTGCCGTTTTCAGTATCTGGAAGATGGTGGCCTAGGCACCTGTTGAAGTTGGGTCAGATAACATGTGGTTGTAAGGCACTTTAGGGATAGAAGTAACAAAGTAACGTAGGGATTCAACAAGCCGATATGCTGTGTACGCAGTAGATGCAAGTTGGCAAGGTTGGATGGGACAAGTAATGCTCATCTGTCGGAATCATGGAAAACATGGGAAAGTGTGGCGGCCCGTTGATTGGTCGGAGGAACATGGAATCAAGACAGGTACACAGTACGTATCCTCCTTCTGTCGCCTCTCCCTCCATTCAGCGTCCAGCCTGGATGCAAGGGTGGGGTCCTCCCTCTCCACCTGAGAGGTACTTCCATACAACCTACACATTGGTCCAGACCTGGATATAAGATGATGTATATTACGCGTAGTGACGCCCAGCACCCCCATATGATGACGAAAGAGGTTTCTCTCGAGCACGATTGGCGTTATCCTGTGGCACGGCGGGCGCATACCTTAATTACCATTCCATTTGCTGCTGGCATTCTTCAGACGCACCTCTTGAGTGTTGGGGACTCTTGGGAGAAGCCTTGGGGGCCATGGGGGATGGATGCCATGCACCAAAACTAAGGTACGGACACCTACCCGCGTCCCGTCAGCCACGGGCAGCATCTTCAACATTCCACCCGACTCTGCCACGGCCGAGAAATCGGAACACCACAGATCCACGGCGGATCGCAGCTTCTTGACCGGCCTATTTCCATTCAATTCGTCTTCACCACCCACCTCAGCTAGCCGCAGTCTTCAAACTCCAGACAGTCTCTGACTTCACTCAGCATGGTGCTGCCATGCGCAATCCATGCGTGTTAAATCTCTCCCACCGGCTCTGTTCCGGACTCACTCACATAGGGCATATCGCTCGGCACATCATTCCTGTTATGGGATTATCTGGGCCTTCTTCTTCTCCTCTGGCTTCTGGTGGCTCCAAACTTCCGGGTAGGGCAGTTCTCCGTAACAGCCATTCACCTCATGCCGTGTTGATTGATTTCTCGCATACAAGGCTGCTTAAACTATTGCAATTGTATAGAATCAACCGGATCATTTTCACGCTATCGAGCCTGTCTAGAGCATGATGGCCCATCGCCATCACGTGCCCGGTGAAACCAAGGTAGTACCGTAGTACGGATACGGTGAAAGCCAAGAACCGAGGAGAAGGACAGAGAACGGGGCCTGGAGTCGTACAACCTTACAGTAGAAACGATGTGCCATGCCGAAGATCCCAAGGCCGGCATGCCCTGTCTCGGTGGTCTTCCTCCGGCGGTGGGCGACACCTCAGTCACAGACACAGACTCACAGAGTATTCAGGAATAGGCACATAGGCACTTACTGTGTGTACTATGGCGCAGGGCAGGCAACCTCCCGCCGCCAAAACATGCCGGATCAGCACGGGCACTATTGAAGAAAGGGTGGTAAGGTAGACGACTCCCAGGTGCCAGGGACCTCTCGTCTCGTTTCCTCCCCGTCCCCGTCCCAGTCCCAGTCCCAGTCCGTCGCTACCCAAACGCGCCGAGTCTTTCCAATGTAAACCCAACCTGGGAAGTACCCGCAAGGGAATAGGCAGTGGCACCCAGCATCCCCGGTCCACTCCAGCGCACCGGGCTCTCAAATGATGGAAGCGACCGTGACTGTCCGCTCTTTCGCCCTTAATGCTGCCCGCCCACGTCCAAGGTAAGATAAGTGGATGGCAAGGTAAAGCCAAGTATCTCTCGGACGTAATTAGGTACCGATCGAGCTTCCTTCGCTCCAAGAGGAACATGTCTATACATCAGCCGCCGAGCCGTGGGCCCTGATGCCATGCCGCCCCCAATCACGTCGCTTCCCCCCTTCGCCTGTCCGCCCACCACTACGTAAGGTACGGAGTACATAGTTACATAGTTACATAGTTACTTACTGCGTACTGCGTTCTGTGAACTGCCCGGTGGGTGACTGGGCACACTGGAATCAACCACCGAGAACGTCCATCAAACTCCATCTTCCCTCCCCGCAACAAAGCCAATCTGGGTCCTCCCACGACTGTTTCTCACGTCTGCTCCCACCACCTCCGGCCTCCGAATCCACCGACGTCCAATTCTTCGACACAACAAGACTCGACATCAACAGCCCCACGACGACATCTCTGCCAACGCGCAGCATACCGCATTTCTGCCTCGCCAAAACCAAGCGACCACCGCGCTCGACGCCATTATCCCGCTCTTCACCAACCCCGAAAACCCGGCCACCGATACTCATCTGGCCGACGTTCAGTTGCCGGCACCCTAACCTGCTTTTCCCGCAGCACACGACGGCCTCCCCCTCACAACTCCTACAATACGTGTACTGGTCCATGACAGGAGGACGAGGATTGTGACGCGATATCGCACCCCCGACCGTATGCACCGGTGGCACTATTTAAGCCGGCGCCTCGGGAGAGAAAAGTACAAGTTGGACGCCTGAACGAACCACCCACTGGTTGCGACTCGACAACACTCGACGACTTCTTGCACCCCACCACCACTATCGACCGATACGGGACGACACGACGACTGGCCCACCATCAACGACAAGGTCCTTGGGACACCGATGCGATCGCCATGGAGGCCTTCTACCCGCAGCTCACTCCTCAAGAGCTGCAGCGACAGATGTCGCAACAGTCTCAGCAACGCCAGATGCAGAGCCAAGGCCAAGGAGGCGGCCACGGCTACCACCAAATGAACCAAGGCCATGGCATGTCCATGATGGGCGGCAACGGCGACTCGCTCGACGACATTATCAACAGTAACAACCATGAACTGCAACGGCGCCGCAGCATACACCAACCATACATGCCCTCAAACCAGAACACCCAAAACGCCGGCGCCGACAGGAGGATGTCCATGATGGAGTTCGGCGCTGATGACAATCAGATGCTCAACTATCCCTTCCAAAACCCGACCATGAACGGCGAATTTTCTAACATGGCCGGCCAAATGGGCAACGGCATGAATGGCGGCATGGACGGTGGCATGACGAATAACGGAGGGATGGGCAACAGTGTTCCCGGCAACATTTCCATACCTGGAGGCATGGAGGCGTACGCTACCCAAGACGGACTGCAGATGTCGCCGACAAATGCATTCACCACCTTTTCTCCCGATATGATGAGTTCGATGATGCCTCCGGCGTACGCCAACATGGGTATGCCGACTACGTCAAGTATGAATATGTACGGCCAAACATCCATGGCCAACGCTTTTCCGAGCCCTCTCAACACGACCGCCAACGACATGACCATGGATCTGGGAGCCGATGAAACACCCGGAACAGCACCACAGTCTGCCCTCGACACGCCACTAGATATCGACAACGCCGACAACGAGGCTTTGAGTATGGGTCAGCAATACCAAACGTCGGCAGACAACTCGAACAGACCAATTGCCCAAGTGCCCAAATTCGGCTCTGTTTCAAGCGGTCCTCAGACAACTCCGTCAACATTATCCCGCGAGGTGTCAACCAACTCAGGTCAGACTTCTTCGCAGTCCCCCAATAACCGATCATCATCCATGGCAACGAGCCAGACAGCAGCCTCTGCTGCACCTGCCGCAACCGCAGAGACGACTCCCGCCATGGGACCTCAAACACCTCGTGCAGAGTCCAAAGAGAAGAACGTCTACTCAAAGAGCGGCTTCGATATGATGCGGGCGTTATGGTACGTCGCTACAAGAAAGGACCCCGAAATTCATCTTGGCGCCGTGGACATGTCCTGTGCATTTGTGGTCTGCGACGTCTCACTGAATGACTGCCCGATTATCTACGTTTCCGACAACTTCCAGAACTTGACGGGTTACAGCCGTCATGAAATTGTCGGCCAAAATTGTCGGTTCCTGCAAGCTCCCGATGCCAAGGTCGAAGCTGGCTCGAAGCGTGAATTCGTGGACGATGCGTCAGTCTACAATCTCAAAAAGAAGATTGCAGAAGGCCGCGAGGTTCAGCAAAGTTTGATCAACTATCGCAAGGGCGGCAAGCCTTTCTTGAATCTTTTGACAATGATTCCGATCCCGTGGGACGACCCCAACGAGGTGCGGTTCTTCGTTGGCTTTCAAATTGATCTCGTCGAATGCCCAGATGCCATCTCTCAGGGCCAGGACGCAGGCGGTGTCAAGGTCAACTACAAACATAGCGACATTGGCCAGTACATTTGGACACCCCCGAATCAAAACACTGTCGAGGCCGAAAATGGACAGACGCTGGGTGTTGACGACGTGTCTACCCTGCTACAGCAATTCAACCCCAAGGGTGTGGTGTCTGACTGGCACAAGCAGTCTTGGGATAAGATGCTTCTCGAAAACACCGACGACGTTGTTCACGTTCTTTCACTTAAAGGGTTGTTCCTCTACCTATCACCTTCTTGCAAGAGGGTCTTGGAGTATGACGCGACAGAGCTGGTGGGCAATTCCCTTTCGACCGTATGTCACCCGTCCGATATTGTGCCCGTTACCCGTGAACTCAAAGACGCCACGGCGGGCAATTCGGTCAACATTGTCTTCCGCATAAGGCGGAAGCAAAGTGGCTACACGTGGTTCGAAAGCCACGGCTCATTATTCTTCGAGCACGGAAAAGGTAGAAAATGTATCATTCTGGTAGGGAGAAAACGACCCGTTTTCGCATTGAGCCGGCGAGACCTCGAAGCGCACGGAGGCATTGGCGACAGCGAATTATGGACCAAGATTTCGGTATCCGGCATGTTTCTCTTCGTGTCTTCTAACATTCGGTCTTTGCTCGACTTGCAGCCAGACACCCTGATAGGCACCAGCATGCAGGAGCTCATGCGCAGAGAGAGTCGTGCCGAATTTGGCCGAGCGATCGAAAAGGCAAGGAGAGGCAAAATAGTGACATGCAAACATGAGGTTCACAACAGGAGAGGACAGGTACTTCAGGCACAAACCATTTTGTATCCTGGAGATGCCTCAGATGGTCAGAAGCCCACGTTCTTATTGGCGCAGACCAAACTTCTCAAAGCATCGTCGAGGAGCATCGCACCGGCGGCTACACCCCCAGGAAGCGTCAAATCAACCTCTCAGGCCAACCAGAATGTGCAACTCGCAACACAGAGCACCGATCTTGCAAAGGCCGGGCCGATGTCACTACCGGGCGGTCAAGCGATACACGGTTCGCAGGATGCTGCTCTAGCCTCGGACGACAACATTTTCGACGAGCTGCGAACGACAAAGTGCTCCAGCTGGCAATTCGAGCTCCGCCAGATGGAGAAGGTCAATAGGATCCTTGCTGAAGAGCTGGGTGGCCTATTATCGAATAAGAAGAAGAGAAAGAGGAGAAAGGGAGTAGGCAATGTCGTCCGCGACTGCGCCAACTGCCATACGCGCAACACGCCCGAGTGGCGACGAGGTCCTAGTGGTCAAAGAGACCTCTGCAACAGCTGCGGTTTACGCTGGGCAAAGCAGGTGAGAAGCGCCGAGCCCTCTGTAGTAAGCCGAGTGGAGGACGACGATATTAATCAGGATTAGGTTGGGCGGGTTTCACCGCGCAATTCGTCTCGAGGAGGCGCAAACACCAACGCAGACGCACTCAGTAAGAAGTCGAACTCGCCCATACACTCGTCTCAGCTCCAAAACGAAGTCAAGGCCAGCAGCAGCACGCCAGCAAGACCTAGCGACAGTTCAGGAAATGGCACACCTGCCACGTCTGTTTCCGTCTCCAAAAGTCACCAAGGCATGCCTCCACCGAGTCAGCCTCTTCTCGAAGGCGGTAGTGGCGGCGGAATGACATCCATACGAGAATAACGAGAGAGCGACAATGGTCACTCATCCATCTATCTATCTTACGCGCAACTCACACACTATCGGTCCAAGCACACGCCCTTTCTGTCGAGATACCATTATACTTTCGTTTCCCGAGGTCTTGTGGCGATGGCCTGGTAATACCTAGTGCCCAGATGCGCCACCAACAAAGACGGTTGATATCACCCCGGCGATTTTTTCTTGAACATTTCTAGGAACTTTGACATTTTCTCTACGTAAGGTACACGAGGCGTCATGGACCGGGGGTCAGAACGCAAATCTATTTTATTCGGGTGATGATCAGTTACTCGCTGTTACGGCCGGAACTGACCAGCTTGCGATACCACACCGACATCATTTTGGGTAGATTGGCATCATAAGTTTCTACCTCTTGGAGGTGGGAAAGGACAGCAAAAGAAAAGCAGCCCTTCCTGTACCCCGGTGGTCGGTTATCTGGTCTGAGATCTTTCTATATAGGAGGTGCTGGCTAAGGATGATTTTTGCGGAGCGGAATGGACTTAGAAAAGAAGCGATCAAGCATTATGAAAGGCCGGATTGGTTGGAAGCCTTCTTCGTCTTTTGTCTGTATTCTTTCACACCTTCCCTTCTACGTATGAAGTACTTGTCGGGATGAACCCGCTTGATACCATGGGTGGTGGGTGATTGAGGCAGGTGAGAGACGGGTGAGGGATGCTAATCGTTGGCCACCGGCCTTGGTGTTAGCCATTTTATATGAAACGGAATGTAGCTGAATGAGACATACCCCATGGATTTTGTTTGTATGAAGACTTGTGTTTGTCTGTCGTGGACGTGATGATTTGATTACCGAAAGTGTGCTCCATACTTCAGTATGAAGAACATTGCCCCAATTCTTAGTCTAATTATTGATATGATGCTTTCTACCCGCCTGTTCAAGGCGCTGACGATGGTTCAGGTTTGCTGCGTCGTATCGACCTCAAAACATGAAGTAAGTGATGACCGGTCGTTTACCTTGCACCAACTAACGCGTGTAAGATGAAATGGTTATATTGTTGGGCCAGGTCCATTACTTGCCATGGGGCGTTACCTACGAAACGGTCATGGGGTGTATGGACAGAAAGCTCGGTCTGTATCGTCGAGAATGCCTCTATACTGAGGTGAAACATTCTCACATTCGATTCTGCTTTCTTAGATGCCATGCCAGATTACTTAGAGACGAACGTTGCCAGAGATGTCTGGATATATTCAACCACGACCGGCCTACTACACTTACAGGCTTGATCACACTGAACAAGAGGAAAGCAAGAAATGGAAACAGGAAAATACAAGCCCAGTACAACACCAAACAATCACGGCGAACCTCGCTCACCACACTTACAAAACTCATCAAACACCGTCCTTCCCCATTTCCCCCTCTCTACCCCCCTCGGTTCCTCCATGCCTCCCACCATCACCCCTCTCCCAAAACCTCTCCATCCCGCGATCCCTCCCCTTCACCAACCCCCTCACATCAAACGGATCAACAAC